ACTGATCCATGAACTAACTGTATGTACCTGAAACAATTCATTTTTCATGCTATTAATCATATACAAATAAGCTGTTTAGAAGCACATTTGGGATCATTTCATTGTAAAGGTCAAAATGTGGGTCATGATGTTTGACCTCGACACACATTTAACTTGATACAGCTTGTGTGTTCCCTCAAATATTTAGGCTATATTTTAGGTTACATTCTGACTAAAAAGTTATACAAGTACAAATTCCACTGTTCTCCTCTCACCATGTCTGCGCTGGGTTGGTACTTGTGCAGCCAGGTGTTTTGTACTGGACCACTTCTGTCCCCGGTAGCGTACAGATGCCCAGCCACCGCCAGACTTCTTGGCTGGGTTGACCAACGTTTGCAGTGCGTTGCCCAGGCTCTGGGGGAGTTGAAGATCTTGGCCCGTCTCCACCCATCTGATTTTCCCATCATTCAACAGGTCTCCTACAAATTTCTTACCCTGATGGAGCGAGAAGGGAGACATTTTAAATCAAGAAGCAAGACATACATGTGGGTTTCCTACTTAGTGCATTTCATTGCCAGTGTATCATGGCCAGGTTAGCTTGACATGAATAATAAGTGCCATACTTACTTGCTTACTTACTTGCATAAAAAATGAATAAAACATTCTCATTGTATGTACTGTATGTTATTACCAGGTAGTGGATGGCTAGCACCCCATCCCCCGCTCCACAAGGCCGTCCTTGAGCAGCACTCTCAGGGTGATGCCTCTCCGGTCAGCAGGGCCCCGTCCGGAGCTGGACCGCAGGTCTGCCTCCTCCCCTCCACTCAGCTCCTCCTCATCCTCCTCTCCTCCATCCTCCACCACCTGTGGAGAGCTGGGTGGCTCTGAGCCTAAGGACACACACACACATTCACACATCATGGATCCTAATGTGCTCCATCTGCTGGAGTGATGTATGTGGGTGTAATGTCAGTGTCAAAAACAAAAAAACATAATTTTGTTCATTATTTTTTAATGTTTTCATTATTCAGCAGCCTCTTGTTAAAGGTCATATTACTCCGAGGCTTCAAAATTTGCCAAAGCACCTGACTACCAGTTAAACATCTGTATCACAGTTACATCAGGAACAAACCCCATGCAAATGTCCCATTACTTTAATTTTAATAACTTTGTAATTAAAGCTCCACTGTAATGGCAGCCAGCATCGTCCATAACTGCACCATGCTAAAATGATAGCAGTCCTATCATGGTGAAATGAATCTCAAGGGGGCAAAATAGCCAAATGATAATCTAAATTGGCATTTCATTAATTACAGCTAAGCTATGCGGTTGGCCTTTGTTTCCATCTCCCATTAGGGCATGGCTCTCTCCGCTAGAAGAGGCCTGTTCCCCTCTGTTACTTTCCCTCAGAATTACAATTAAACCCCTCTTTCATTATTCTCACCCATATCTCTGAAAGCGTCGGAGAGCGCCTCTAAATCCAGCTCGGTCAAACGCTGCTCCTTTTCAGGGCACTTGCCGCTGTGTGGGTTTGAGCTCCGGGCAGATTTCACAGATACCCTTCGCCACACTAGCTGCGGCTATTATTCAAAAACATAAAATGAAGGCGTCTGTGGCTCTGCAGTGTAGTTTCCTTGTTGTGTTGCTTTAATGTCAGTTCCCCTCCCCTTTCTTTCTCCCTCTCCCCGTCCTTGTCACTCTCCCTGTGTTCTTTTCTGAGCGGGTTTGTCTGACGTGCCATGCCGGGTATCTGCCATTATTCACACGACTATTAACACTAAAAATCCCACATAGGCATTTAAACGATAAAACAATCGTTTGGGGTTGAAAATTTGACTTAAATATTATTAAAGATGTAAACAATGTAGCGCTAAATCTGCGCTTCCTCCGGAAAGATGAAGTGTCGCCCCGTGCGCGTGAACCGACCGCTATTTGGCATTTAGGGAGATTAAAAGTACATCCTGAAGATTATGGGGTCTTTGTATATGACAAACACTACACAGTAGCTAAGGTCAGTGATTAGTGTGGTGTTATAATACGAGCTTGTGCCGCACTTCACCATGTTAATGTGGTTTTCTTCACTACACCGAGATGTTCCTTCTTTATCTCCGAAGAGAAGCACATTCACCGGGAAGCAGCCTGCGGAGGGCAGCAAACCTCCAGCAGCTTGTTTTACAAGGGTTTTTTTTTCTGTCGCTGTGGTAGGCCTACTTTTCACACAAGAACAGATCATCAAAAAAAAATTGTTTCCCCCCACAACTTTAAGTACTAGACTGAGTGCAACATGTAGAAAGACATGTTTTGCAATGAAATAGCCTACATTATGTTCATACAAAGTACACGCTAACTTTCAGTAAGATTTTCTTATCTATCTAATACCATTTACTGTCACTGCTCATTGTTCCTAAAATTAAAAGATTAAAAACGTCAGAATAACCACCCTATGAGATTTTATCTATGAGATGTGACCTCAGTGGGATTCAAACCAGCAACCTTAGTTTTGGTAGCTTAGTGCTTTAATAAACAGAGCCACAAAGGACCACTGCAATAACTAACCTACAGTTTGTACAACTCCTTAAAATAAACAACATGATTACTACCCATAATTGTATCGCTAATTTCATGTAATGGTAAACTCAGTTGGTAGCCATATGTAAAAATGGGTGTGAACATGGAAAAGAATAGACAGCAAGGAAGTAGAATCAATCAGAGAGATTGAGGACAGGCAGAGAGAGGGCAGGGCATCTGTCAGAGAGGACAGGCTCAGAGTTACATTTGATAAGACAAATCTATACGTTGCAATAAAAGTATGTTTTTTGCATCAATGATTGGCCAAGATATCTTCAATGACGACATCTTTATTGCATAATAGATATTGTTGAAATGATGGATTCTGTACATGTTGGGTAAAGGAAGTGTATTTCCTAATGTGAAAACTGTGTAATCTGGCTTTTACAGTACTGTTGCATCTCTGTAATGGGGTCAGATGAATCTGCAGTTCAGCAATACTGGAAACAAAGTAGGCCTATATGCACATTTACTGAAGTAGGCTACCATCCAATTTTGATGCAGGCCTATTTTTTCTATTGAGTAGCCTATTTCCATTTGGCGATAATTTATACGTCTACTCCAGTACATTTCAGAGAAAAGATCAATTAGCCATATCTGTCAAACATTTATTTACCTGTAGTGAACCTTATGACTGTAGGCTACAAACAATAATTACATTAAACATGATTCATATTTATATTAAACCATCCAACAACATGGCTGGATTGACCTGTCCAGTCTACATCCCCAGTGAGGGTGAGCCCAAACATCAGTATCACTATCCATGTTAGTTATATTTCATACCGCACATATTCAACAGTCTTTCAGCCAGTAACAAAATGTTTGGACAGTTATTGGTTTGCTTCTCGGGTATCAGGCCAAGGCTATAATGTTATCAGTTTGACTGTATTTTTAACACAACGCAGCAGTAGTATATAAAAGATAGTTTGTCCATATCCTCTTTGTTGAAGTTTGTTCTGATGACGTCAGTGACATAAAGTGTACTTTATGGATATCTAATGTTTGATTATAAAGCCAAGATACCCAGTCATCTCTCTCAGAACTGGCAATGGCATTTTAGATTTCTCACAAAGGTAAAGCAGGGAGAACAGGATCACAATACGCTGGCTTTGCCTATGCCAAGTGGTGAGGACGTTCATGTCCATGAAAGAAGAGACTTCACAGATACACTTAGCATTCTGGCAAAACTGGTATTGACAACAATAGTGAAAAAATACATTTTGTGTTTTGATGATGTCACATGTGTTCCTAATGGATATCTAATGTTTGATTACAAAGCTTGCTTTGTTGTTACACAAAAGTCCCTTCTGCTCCTTTATGTTCGCCGGTGTATTTGTGTCTGTTGCTGCTCTATGGAGGTTAACCTGATAGACCTGTGGTACACATGTGAAAAACAAACAGTCAGTTGCTTGGTAACATTGATTAGCATTAAGCTGCTAACTTGCTCATACCTGAAAGCTGTAGTGATGTGCTAGGCAGTCTCCTGTTGATGACCAATTATTATAAACAACACAGCAACTCACCTGGAAAAGTTTGACAGAGACACCGTTTTCTCCCTATTACAAGTCAGTGTACCATCAAAATAATTTTGAAGCTGTCATTTTAACATACAAATACTACATAACGTTGCTTTAAAGGTAAAATAAGTTTCAGGAAGCCAGACATCAAATCACCCTGAAAGCAACAAGTAACAAAAAAAGTTTTTCTCTACACAAATCATATGTGACGCCATCAGTAGCCTATACATTTGCCTGGTTAAAAATGGGAATGAACTCAAAATGAAGTGACGCGTAGAATGCTATCTCACTGATAAAACAAATTGGAGACATTTGTGCACAAGTTAACACCTTATATCCAGTTATTTGTTATTGCATAGACAGGCTGCAACACAAACTATGGGCACATATCAGTCTGTCAACTATCATGTGCCATGGCTTAATCTATCTATCTATCTATCTATCTATCTATCTACTACTCTTCTGTACACACTATACTTACAGTGAGTGAACAGCAAAGTATTATGATACTTTACCTTATAGGTCTTTATAAACATTCTGAATATTTGTCCTTATATTATCGTATTATTATACATAGCTATAAGCACAGTATTACACATTATAAGTATGTTTATAATGCATTATAGACATAATGTTTGTCTGAAAACCACAATTCATTACAGTAGTAGTATAATAACTATAAGAATATCGGTATACTGCCCACATCTGAATTTATTTTTCTGACACAACTGTTCTGTCGTGTAGCAGAATTGCTATGTTTATTGTTAAAAGGTATTTACAAAATGTCTTTAATACAGTCAGTGGCTTCTTTATTCTCCTTTGGTGTACCACCAGTTGGTAGAATAAGATTTGTTAAACATGGACAGACTGGCCCATACCATTTGTGAAACTGTAGCCAGTCTCACATACAGGGCGTGATTGGTCATGTTTATTTCACTTGTATAAAAGATAATTTGCTGTTCAGAAATCATCCTTCTCCATTTCCTCTTTGCTGAAACTCCCTGAGGGAACAAAAACTAATCTGTTGAGTACTGAGGACGTACCACCACTTGGTAGGTGAACAGGTTTGAGTGGCATTTATAGACTTGTTCTCCGCTGCTTGGGACAAATACAAGATTCTCACCATCAACAGAATTAAATTCACCAACGTGGAACACATACCTCCCTTCACACATCACAACAAGCCTATTGCTGTAACGAATACGTCCCTCCATCTCACTGGGTAACTCACTTTTCTTTTCCTCAATCTTCAAACTAACAGCTGGCAAAGAAGGGCAAGTGACACTTCCACTTGAGCAATCTTCTGCACTGATATATACTCTTGTTTTCCAGCGCATGTTGTGTAAAGCAAAATAGGCAGTGTTATGAACAGGTGTTTGGAAATCAGAGGTCAGACTATTGATGCGTTGGCCACGAAGAGTGTAGAACCCAAAATCTCTGTAAGCTTTGAAGATGTGGTAGCTGAAGGTAAAGCTCCATGGCATACCAGTGTAAATCCTGGACGTGTAGCTATTTTGTTCTTCCCTCAGATCATTGAGCAATGTTGTGAAGGGCAGAGCGTTAAACTGAAACCCCTGCAACTTGCTGGCCTGGTACTGTGAGCCATCAAGCCTGTATAAGTCCTCAGCCGGTATCATTGGGAAATGGACGAGCTTCAGAAGGACCTCGGGAATAGTTGTGTTTCCTTGGGCTGCCGCCCATCTCTCCAGTCCATTCAGGATGACGGTTTCATTACGTACCACAAGGTCTGAGCAAGAAAGAAGAGCTTTGACCAGTTCAAATGGAAGATTTGTCCAGGCTGGCGAACGGATCAGCGCCTCACAGTTCCACGCCAGGTAGAGAAGGCAAACTTCCTGTAGTGCCTCGTCACCTATAAAAACTGCATACTCATAGAAAGAGTTCTGACTCTGGAAAGTGGGATCCTCTGGAAGAAACAGTCTGAAAATATTTGCAGCCTCATTCTGAAGCTCTGTCAGACCCCACTTGGATGCCATGTTAAGAATGCAGTAGGCAGAAGATAGCGTGACTTTCATCTTTCTTGTGTAGAAGTATCTGAAAAATCAGCAGCTTCATTAGCAAGGTTCAACTATTTCCAACTCAGTGCATACAATATAGACAGAAAGTGAAAATCAGCTGGTACAGTGGTACAGTTTGAAGTCACAAGTTTGCTTTTACCTGACAAAGTTGTTGGCGTGTTGACTGCAGTCAGAAGAGACATTGATGCTGAGGCTGCTGAAGTCTGGCTGTGAGGTTTGGAGGTTTGAGTTCAGAGAAAGGATGATCTTGTGAGCACAGATTGTTTCAATGGTGTTGGTGTCCACCACCACTGTAATGTTCAAGTCACAGTCACGTCCACTGTCAAACAGCTCCCCCAGCTGATGAGAGAGGCTTGCATTGTGGTCCAAATCAAACTTGAGGTTTAGATTCCTGTTGGTAGGTTCTGGTAGATGATATCAAAAAGGGCCCAGTGAGTGAATTTGTTGTAATGGGAAACAGGCGTCTGAATTTTTATCCATTATTTCTCCATGGAAGATGCATACTTCTTGCCTAAACATTGGTTACCTTACCATTTTCACATCTAACACCAGCATCCTCACTGTGACCACAGTTATGGATCCCCCACCCGGGAAACTGACATTGGCTCAGTTTCATCTCTGTCCCAATACAGCCTACATCATCCATCCAGATGTTGCCATCCCCTAACACAAAATCAATCACAGAACAAAAACAGATGAAAATAGCCATTTGTACCAAATAACGTTCATAATTACAGGTTTTCTTCATTAATATTTGGCACATGTATTGTTGTCTGTACTGCCTTGAGTTTCAGAGGGTCACAGTCAAATTGGGCTTTATTACCGTTCCCAAATGTAGATGATTGAAGAGCTTCTATTGCACCAGGGAAATGGAGCTGGTGACAAACTACGTGAGCGTCATTTATGTCCCAGCCATCATCGCACACGGTCCCCCAAGCTCCATCATGAAAGATCTCCACACGGCCCTCAGAGAAGTCTTGACCACCAGCCAGCCTAATATAACCTTCCTCCTGACCTAAAGAAAAATGTAATGTGATAACCTAATTTAGCCATCTGTCTCCAATGAGTAGAAAAAGATGATCAAAAAAATCTGTATTTACACAAGTGAACCATGTCTGTAGCTCTACTTTTATTTATAAAACAAAGCCAGATTATGTCATACCAGTTGACAGTTACTATATCCACATTTTGCTATTTAAGAACTAAAGATTGAAAAATAAAAAGTAGGAAAGTATTGTACTTTAGTTAAAAAAATACTGTATATATTTTGAAATTATGAGTGCTAGTAACATAATATTGTTAATGCACTCAAGAAGATAAGCCATTAAACGTTTATATTTATTGTATTTGTCTCTGAAGATTGAAGGAAAGAAGGCTAGAATGTTTCTGCCTTTTTGCTCACTGTTAAATTAAGCTGTACGTAGAGATAAAACAAAACCGTATAAAAGAGGTACTACAGCTTCACAGATTAGGACTACTCACCAGCAGACAGGCTGACACTCAGGAAAAGAATGCAGAATAAAGCGTTTGCATTCATTTTGATTGCAGTGCACTGGGGATAGTAAAACAGGAACTAAGTTACTTACTGTATTTAAAAATGTTTTTTCTTATTCTATGTTCAGAACATTGGTCAAAGTAGTCTCCATTCACTACTGTCTTTTTACTTGTCATTTGTCATTACTGTACATGTTGTTTCACTTCCAAGTGTTTCTCTGCACAAATTTAAATGTGATGCCATCAGAAGCCTATAAATCTTATAAATATAAATTTATATATATAAATTTTTTCTGGTGAAAAATAGGAATGAACTTACCAGAACTCAAGTGAAGTCTCAAGTGAACTGAAGAAAGGTATCTCACTGAAGAAATACAGATGGGAAATCTACACACACCTTGCTTGGGGGCATTTTCCTGAAATCACCACACCCATTAAAGTGGTGTTTGCCAGAAAAGTGTTGAAATCCAATGTCCCATTTTATTTCCACAATAGCCATTTTTAATGTTTCAATCTTAACATGATTTCTGCCACATGTGCAGTATTTGTGTGTCCAGCAAAGGTCAAATGTCACATTTTTATGTGTTGTCATGAAGTTATGTTTACATACACTGCTCAAAAACATTAAGGGACAAAATCTTGATGGTTGAAGGAACCAAAAACACAAACCAATAGGATTCAAAGTGAAAAAACTCAAATCACAGGCTGATCCAACTTAAGTGACTTTGATCACAGCAACTCATAATGTGACTTGGGCATGTATCTGATGACATGGCACATGGTGTCGTGGGGTTCTTCTCCCAAACCTGCATCATGGCATCGGTGAGCACATGCCATCCTCATGGAGTTTGTTTCTGACAGTTTAGACAGAAACATGCACTCCAGTAGCCCGCTGGAAGTGATTTTGTAGGCCTCTTGCAGTACTCCTCCTGTTCCTACTCGCACAAAGGAGTAAATACTAATCCTGCTGCTGCGATGATGCTCTTGGCTTTGTTCAGCGCTACACACTCTTCTCGTGTAACGGTCCATCTCCTGATATCTCCTCCATGTTCTTTAGAATGTGCTGGGAGACACAGTGATGGCACTTACTGATGTGCCAACCTGGAGGAGCTGGACTTCCTGTGCAGCCTGAATGGGCTGCAGGTACCTCCTCATGCTAACAGCAGTGAGAAGGACACTAGCAAAACACAAACCTAGAGAACACTCAGTCAAGAAGGATAAGGAGAGAGCAGTTGTCTGTGGCCACCACCTGCAAAACCATGCACTTTTTGGGCGTTGTCTTGTTAAAAAAATACTCCAAACATGTTTCTAAATTAACTTAATAAAGAAACAAAAATAAATGTAAGCACTTTCTCATTAAAAACAAAACTGAACTATTTTAATGGCTGCAACAGTCGTATAGGCCGTGTTATGGGGAGAAGGGAGAAAAAACACAGGCTGCAGTCCGGCTCGGATGAGAACTCTGATAAACTGTCAGACAAGGGCCGGGCTATGGCCTAGATTTGAGGCCCGTGCAGGACTCTAGGACAGATGTATGGAAGAGAAAGTAACGCTGTCAGCTGGTGTCGAGAGTCGTGACACTGGATACGTGGAGCTGTCTCTTCATGAAGATGAATTTGCCTCACAGATCATCACATCAGGACCTAATAATAATAAGTCTACTACCTTTAAGTAAGGGCGCCATCAGATAATAATACTGAAGAACATTTAACAATGTCCCTTTACTAAACGGGGTTATTTGATTGCTTTCAAATTATAAATACATAAAATATTTTTTTAAAGACACTGGTACAATTGCATGTCTGTTTTTTGTTATTTGGAGAAAACTGTGATATTTGGATTCCGTTTTTTTTTTATTTGGGTATAATTAGCAATCCCTTCATTTAGCTATTAAACGCAGTGGTTTTATGTGGTATGGTTGAATTTTTATTTAAATAATTATTTTAAAATCAAGATGACATGGTGGGCCCTGTGATGGACTGGCGACCTGTCCAGGGTGTACCCCGCCTTTAGCCCCCCGCCACCCTGTACACAGGATAAACGGTTGACGATGGATGGATGAATGACAGGGTGGAGCAGGTCATGACAGGAAAGGCACATTAACCAGTACATAAAGCATGACAAAATATAAAAATTAAACAGGGACAATGACAGGGTGGACACTGAGCTTCAGTTACCATGTTAGCTTCCAACCAAATGTGACTAGCTAACTAGCAAGTTGCAATACAATAGCTAGAATACAAAATCTTATAATTATGTAAGTTTAACTGTACGAAATTCTCTTTAACACTATTTGATCTTGTATTCTAATAATTTACAGCTAATTTTATGCTGACAGGGGGACATGTAAAACTTTGGCAAAACAAGTAAGCAAATTTGGCAATTGGAAAGTCAACTCACTCAGCTCAGTCATTGAATTTCCCACCACTGAAGAGATAAAAAAACCCTGTTTATTAAATAAAAATATGTTTTCTTGGTCACCAAATCATCAATGCAGTGAAGTTGAGTTATATCTTATGTAACAAAATATTAATATGAAAACAAAGTATAAACATATTATGATTTGACTACATATTACTTTCATTGCATTTGATTAAGCAAAATATGCACCAAGTCATGCTAATGGCAAGGCAGATGTTTCTTGGGAAAAATTAATTTTTCTATGGAGTGTTTTCCTATAATGTTTAATTATAAAGCCAAGATATCCATTCATCTCCGACTCAGAACTGACTTGCTTTCTGATCTGCCTGTTGTTTATTTGTCTAAGAAGAACTTGATTTCTTAAGAAGACAACCTGCACGAGTCTATTTCAGAGACTACTGAAGGCATTTTGGAGCAGAAACAGAGATTTCTCACAAAGGCTTAAGCAGGGAGAACAATATCACAATACGCTAACGTTGTCTATGCAATGTTCATGTCCATGAAAGAAAAGACTGTGATTGAGGACACATGCCAAAAAAACAGCAAGAATAAGGTAAAACATATTTTGGATTAAATGTCATTCTCAAAGAAAGGACTAAACAAGGAGAATTTTTATTTAATGGAAATATTACAAGAGGGTGTGATGTGTATGATTTGATAAGAAATGTTTTTGCTCCTCAAAGTCTGTCCGACTATGGGAAGAAATATGTGTCAACAGAAACTGAATTTGAGTAATTTAAAGATGAATTGGAATTGGAAAAATGAATATGAATGGCATAATTTGAAATAGAATTTATTGATTTGGAAATGAATTCCAATAAACTTGAAACTGAATGCAATATTATAAAATTAAATTCAGTTGCTCTGAAACTGCATTTGAAATTTCAGCTCTCTAAAGCCTATACTTTCAGTTCTCATGGTTCTCACAATTCAGTTTTAGTTCACTGAAACATCCGGTTGTTGAGGAAGAGCAATCAAGTGCAGATTCACAGAATTACCATCAAAACTCAAGTGCAAGGATGGATCAATACCGACTTTAAACTTGGAACCTGTAAGTTAGGCATTTTTATCTTGCTTACTGTTTTTTTTGCATGTTAGCCTGTTGAACGCTAGCTCAGCTTGCTTTGTTGTTAGCACACAAAAGCCTTTTTCTCTGTGATGTTAAGCAATTGTATGTGTGTCTGTTGCTGCTGCATGTAAATTAACCTGATAGACCTGTGGTACACATTTGCTTGGCAATGCTGGGTAATGTTGATTAGCTCCAAGCTGCTAACTGGCTCATACCTGAAAGCTGCAGTGGCCTGCTGGGCAGTGTCCTGCCAGTACAACCATTCTGATTTACAGAAATGCTTATCATTACTGCAATACTAGTATTAGCGACAGAACTGCAGCTCTATTCCAGTTCCATAGTAGTACAGTTTTTGTTGATCGCTTTGTTACTATTATCACAACTTTGTGGTAAAATTTCACAACTCTTAGTACAAAACTCCACACTCATCACACTTGCCAGTCTTTCATTCAAAACTTGCCATTGCGCATTGATTTGATTGTAAACATCCCTCACCACACAACTATTGATAAAAAATGTCATGAGAAGACAATATCTTTTTTGTTTAGTTGTGGTGACAGCAGTATGCTAAAAGACAGATTACACTGTTTTCACATTAGGCAATACACTTACATTACCTACATAACAATTACAGAGTCAATAATTTCCATAATATCAATGCTATATGTTGTGTAAGTTGTGAACAATACGTTTTTTTTTCTTTTGCTATGGTACATGTGACATTGACTTAGTACATGAAAAACATGTAGAAAGACATGTTTCGCATTGAAACATTATGTTTATACAAAGTACTTGCTAAATTTCTATTGTGCTGTGATTACTTTTTATTTTTGAGTGTGAGTGTTTATAACTATAACTATACTATAAGCACAGTATAAAACATTACTTGAATGTTTTGCATACAGACATAATATTTGTCTTAAAACCACAATTTATTACTGTATTGCAGAACAAAGATTTTACATTCTTTGGAAGTATAATAATAGCAACAATCTCAATTTAATACCTACATCTGAATATATGGTATACCACCAGTTGGTGTTGTTTGTTAGAAGAAATGTTCCTCTGAGAGGTATTAAAAGTAATTGTTCAACAAATCAATGAGGTTTCAAATACATCTAATAAATATATAAACTAATGTTTTGTGTTGACTGGACATGTATCTAAAAAAGGACAGAAATAAAATATGTTTTTATAAAGGCTATACTAATGAACATCAGCAACCTACAAAGGGCGTATTTCTACCTCCATCATAACAAAGCAAAGAGAAATGCAACCAAGGCAGTCATCACAAACACAATTATCAGCCTTGAACAACTCAACCAAACATCCCATACCATTTGTGAAACTGTAGCCAGGCTCACATACAGGGCATGATTGGTCATGTTTATTTCACTTGTATAAAAGATAATTTGCTGTTCAGAAATCATCCTTCTCCATTTCCTCTTTGCTGAAACTCCCTGAAGGAACAAAAACAAATCTGTTGAGTACTGAGGACGTACCACCACTTGGTAGGTGAACAGGTTTGAGTGGCATTTATAGACTTGTTCTCCGCTGCTTGGGACAAATACAAGATTCTCACCATCAACAGAATTAAATTCACCAACGTGGAACACATACCTCCCTTCACACATCACAACAAGCCTATTGCTGTAACGAATACGTCCCTCCATCTCACTGGGTAACTCACTTTTCTTTTCCTCAATCTTCAAACTAACAGCTGGCAAAGAAGGGCAAGTGACACTTCCACTTGAGCAATCTTCTGCACTGATATATACTCTTGTTTTCCAGCGCATGTTGTTTTAAAGCAAAATAGGCAGTGTGATGAACAGGTGTTTGGAAATCAGAGGTCAGACTATTGATGCGTTGGCCACGAGTGTAGAACCCAAAATTATTGTAAGCGTTGGCTCTGTAGTAGCTGACAATAAAGCTCCATGGCATACCAGTGTAAATCCTGGACGTGTAGCTATTTTGTTCTTCCCTCAGATCATTGAGCAATGTTGTGAAGGGCAGAGCGTTAAACTGAAACCCCTGCAACTTGCTGGCCTGGTACTGTGAGCCATCAAGCCTGTATAAGTCCTCAGCCGGTATCATTGGGAAATGGACGAGCTTCAGAAGGACCTCGGGAATAGTTGTGTTTCCTTGGGCTGCCGCCCATCTCTCCAGTCCATTCAGGATGACGGTTTCATTACGTACCACAAGGTCTGAGCAAGAAAGAAGAGCTTTGACCAGTTCAAATGGAAGATTTGTCCAGGCTGGCGAATGGATCAGCGCCTCACAGTTCCACGCCAGGTAGAGAAGGCAAACTTCCTGTAGTGCCTCGTCACCTATAAAAACTGCAGAGTTCTGACTCTGGAAAGACTTTCATCTTTCTTGTGTAGAAGTATCTGAAAAATCAGCAGCTTCATTAGCAAGGTTCAACTATTTCCAACTCAGTGCATACAATTAGACAGAAAGTGAAAATCAGCTGGTACAGTGGTACAGTTTGAAGTCACAAGTTTGCTTTTACCTGACAAAGTTGTTGGCATGTTGACTGCAGTGAGAAGAGACATTGATGCTGAGGCTGCTGAAGTCTGGCTGTGAGGTTTGGAGGTTTGAGTTCAGAGAAAGGATGATCTTGTGAGCACAGATTGTTTCAATGGTGTTGGTGTCCACCACCACTGTA